GGTCCCCGGGGAGCTCTCCGCGGACGGGCGCGGCCGGGGCTGCGCTCCCGGGTCGGGAGGGGCGAGAGCTGTGCGCCCGCCCCTAGAAATGTCTCCTCTTCAAGGCAGGGTCTTTGCAAGGTTTCTCTTAAACACTGCTGTTTTTGTCGGTGTTACTATCGTCATCATCATCACCAAAATAGTGACTTGCCTAAAAACTTCAAGCGCCCCTTTCATATTACTGAAAAAAAAGCTATCAAAAGGTTCAAAACCAGAGATAGTTAAGGGGGGGAGGGGGCTTAAGAATGGAGCCAAGAACTGTTCTTTTTCATGATAAACCTTTCCACGCCATTGGCTTAAATAAAAAAAAATACCATTCATTTTGATAAACATTAGAGATCAAAATGCTAAAAAGACAAAGTCCACTCATGTTGAAAAACGCCACACACTATTTTGGGCACATAGTAGGTGCTTATCGAATTTTTGTTTACCTTCTCCAAGCCTGCAGCGGAATTAACCTCATTTACAGTATGAGGGTAAAGTTTGTTTTGCCACTTCAGTTGCTCCCCAGTTAAAAGTCACGGTTTGTGTTGAATCAGGACATTTTATTTTCTGTCCACTTAGATTTGAAATAGTTTTGAATATGTTGCAGATACTCCTTCAGTCAAATAATTGCCTTACATGTGGCCGGATGTAGACTAGCATCTGAAACTGCCTGGGAAGGAACAAGAGAGGAAATAGTCCAGGCTCCAGGCAGGACCCCATTTAAACCTTTCCTCCCAGACACCCCAGTGTAAGCTCTGAGGGGGAAGTTTTTCATGGGCTCTTTATCTTAATCCTCCTTGCTTTCAAGAAATTCTCTACGGTATGTAGTTTAAATTCTCTTCCATTCCCTGCAGTACACAACATAACCAATTGTAAGCAGTGTCCAAGGGGAGTGTGCAATGTTTCAATTCATAAATCCTTCTGTGTAAGGAGCCCTTCGTGAAGGGATGGAAAAGCTATTTCACAGAGGTTTCTCCAGGACTGTAGATACTGGAACAGGATTCATCAAGATGAATATTTAAATGTTAACAGAATCATGTATATTTTTGTTTCTCCAGAAAGACGAAGCCCAAATCCCCAGCTACTGACTTTTCCAGAGGCAGGAGCTGTGCTGTGGGCTTTCTTGCAGAAACCGCAAGAAGGTACGAGTATAGTGACCTCTTTCAGCTGCAGGACAGAGGAGCTCTGAGTGCTCTGGGGATTCTGCGCTGAGCACAACAAAGTTGCTTTTATTTTTTTCAGATTTTTAGGAATAATTACGAGTTGCTCCCCCCGCCCCAGAAATTCAAAGATGTTTATTATTTAAAGGGCAGGATATTTCTCATTAAAGTGAATCCTGCCTGAGAACATCAAAATATTTCCTTGATGAGGCTGGGGGATTTCATATTAATTCCACAGTCCAGAGCCCACTGTAGCCTTGATTTCTCTTAGAACTCTAGAACTGAAAACACTCCATGTCCACCTTTGTTATTTCATAGAGGACAAAAGAGGTTTAAATAATCACAAATCCTACTACTCACTACTAAAGTTTGAACCACGTGAAATTGCTGAGAAGCAACCATGTTTTACTCGGGGGTGAACAGTCAGTGGAGCAGCAGAACGTGCTAGAGCCATGACTACAACTCTCACATCCTGTGACTTCAGCTACTATTCTCACTACCTCTAGATGATAATTACTGAGGGTTTACTAGAATGCAGTGGGTCAGGCACTGTTCTAAGCACTTGATATGAATTAAGACATTTATTGATCCCTATTAAATAGATTACCTCCCAGAGTCATCCACCGGGATGAGCACCGTTACCATCCATAGTTTACATATGAGGAAATAGAGGCACAGAAAGATGGAGTCGCTTGCCCACTATCACATAGCAGGTACATACTAGCCAAGGATGGAGAATGGGAGGTAACTTATTCTCTATATGAGAATCAGTAAGATGGTCTGTGGATTTTTACACAAGAGAGGACAGGATGAAGGATGATGAATCCAGTCATGGCATATGGAGTAACAACAAAAGCAGTGACAATAGCTACACCTTGGGACCATCTACTGTGTGTCAGATAGTCACGCTGATCATTATCACTCAGAGAACAGCCTTCCTGAAGTGTATATGCTTTCCTGTGGTCACACCGATAGTCAGAAGGGATATGGGGAATTTAACTCAAGGCTGGGGGAATCTGTAGCTCTTTCAGTCACTCCATGCCACTTCTCAGACAGATTGTGTTGAAGAGGAAAGGCTGGAGAGGGAAGTCAGTGAGAGATGAAGGAAGTGACTCAGGAGGGAAGTGATGAGATCCAGGTAGTCAGGAGGAATGGAGGCTCAACCCTGAGGTACGCTGGGAGGAAGAAGAGATGGCATGGGGTAACTATTTGCTAAAAGTATAAAACAGAATCCAGAGTCAAGCACATTTAAAATTTTTTTAGTGTTATTTTTTAATGGAGGTACTGGGGACTGAACCCAGGACCTCGCGCATACTAAGCATGCACTTGACCACTGAACTATGTCCTCCCCCACCCCAAAGTACATTTTTAAATTATTGTGGGTGAGAGTTTAAAATCATGATACACACACACACACACACACACACAACAACAACAACAACTGTCAAGAAAACTGTCAAAAAATAAAATGGTGACACAAATAAAGAATGAAAATTTCTATGGATATCACAAAGGTTCAGTTGGAGGTGCCAGAGACATTCCAGTGGATAAAGGTGTATAGGTCACTGGTTCTCTGCTCTCCATATGCGGACTGGTTCCATCAGCGTTAACTGGAAAACTTGCTGAAAATACACATTTCTTGGTCTTTGGCCCAGAGATTCTGATTCCATACTGCTTGAGTGAGGCCCCAGAAGTTAGATCCTGAAGAAGTTCCCTCACATGACTCTGATGATGTCAGGTTTGGGAACAACGGGAAATTCAGAGCTGGTTAATAAAGGCTGAAAGGGAAAATGGAAATCTCTCCCAGGCCTCGGATGCAGTGAGAGAAGGGCAGGTGATAAAGGATTTGCTTTGGAGAGTAACCAGAGATCAAGGGAAAGGGGGAAATCATATCAGTAAAGGGACCTTAAAAGGGGCAAGCAGAAACATAGAGGAGAACTGGAATTGTGGAGTATCCCAGAAGTCAATAGTGGGAAGTTTCATAAAGGAGTGACTAGAAGCATCAAAGATAGCAGAATGCTATGTAAGAGTACAAAATCCAAGGAGAAGGAAGATTGTCTTGGGTTGGTGAAGAGTCATTGAATCATGATCACTAAATCATGATCCGCAAGTCTGTCCCTCAGCCCCTGCCCAGTGGTATGATTTGCTGCTGCCATGCTCATTCTGAAACCTTGTTTAGAAGGAATTTGGGAAAAGAAAATCAACTGCAGAGTTAAGAGAAAGTGGATGTTAGCTGGCATGGCTTTCAGATCCTTTGCTAGGAAAAGGTGAGAAATAGTTGAATCATGGGTAGAAGATGCTGCAGCCAAGGTGATCTTTTCTAAACTCAACGCTGGCACTCTTGCCGATTTTTGAAGTCACTAGGGAAACAGCGCTGGTGGAGATGGGTTGATGGTGGGATCTTAGATTTGATTGCTGGGAATATGTGCAGAGATAGAAATGGATGGGAGCTGGAATGGAAAAGGGAGAGCTAATTTTAAAGAAAAACAGGATCTTTATTAGAAATTTTACAGAAAGATGTGACTATAGGTCCCCACTTCCAGTCATTTTTGGAAAATACATGTAAGTTTTAAATTATTGACGTTTCCAAAGTGGCCTGTCTCTGATGATGAAATGAGGAAACAAAATTTTATTAGCCTAAATTGATGGAAAAGATTTGGATTCCCATATGATATAATAATCACTAGTCACCTTCAGCATTTTTATTCTGATGTTATTTGGACTTATTTTATGGAATGTTAGTTTAGTGGAGGAGATACAGGGATGATTCCTTACTTGTTGAGGTTTTTTTCCTCCTCCTCTTTATTTTTTTAATGTTATTTATTTATTTATTTATTTATTTAATGGAGGTACTGGGGATTGAACCCAGGACCTACCACTGAGCTATTCCCACCACCTCCCCCATCTTCCCTTTAAATAGAGCAGCCGATTATCTGCCGAGTTTCAAAATGTGCTAGCGATTCAGGTTATAATGTAACTCACACAGTCAAATTATACTGTAACTAACGGGGGGAAAGCGGTTTTCTCTGGAGATGACTTCGGAGAAAATTGGGAGCAGCATTTTGCTTCCGGTGACTTCCTCTCCCTTTCCCATCATTGGTTTCAGCCCTTTGACCCATTTGGTCCCAGGAAACTGCTGTCATCTCACTCTGCTACTCCCCACCTCAGAAGTGGGGTGTACTGGGAGGAAGAACAGATGGCACGGGATAACTATTTGCTGAGGGACTACCCCTCCTGCTGTAAAATTGTGCAGCCCCGTCTGGTCCAGTCAACAAGTTTCACTTCTTTTTTGTCTTACATCTGCCCCAGACTTCTAGCTCAGCTAGTAAGAGAATATGTGCAAATGTCATCTTTCCCAATTACAATGCATTTTAACAGGAAATATAGAAACAGTACCTTGATGCAAGTGAATGGTTCTACTGGTGGGTATTTTAGACATGAGGCATATTTAGAGCAAGGTATGTGACCTTTTCAGATTGCTACCCAAACACACCATGTTATAGTTTCACTGTGGAAATTCAGATGTCAGATGTATTCCATGATGTATTCCAACCTGACGGGGGAAATTTTGAAGCAAAAATCACTCAAAATCCTTTTTTTTTTTTTTGCATTTTCAGTAGCAGAGTGCACGAGTTGGCATAATTTAGGGGGCTAAATGTTTATTTCCTGAGGTTCCCGTCACCTTATCTTTTCTTCTTGTAAAACATAAGATCAGGGTTTATTTTATGCAATTTTTTTTTCTTACAGCTGGAGAAGAAAACTTTGATCAAACCAGATTCCTAGAAGACAGTCTGCTAAAGTGATGAAAATATACCAGATTACATTCAATTATAGTTGTATTCTCGGTGGAAACATGAACCGTGGGAATAAAGCCCTGGGACTCTTTTGACTTCATTTGTGATCTTAGGAACACACCCGGCCAGTATTAGTCTTCCAGAAGCTAAAGTGATGTCTAGTTCTTAGTGAGAACATTGTCACCCTCTTCCATTGCGTCAGGTCCTGGTTAGATCACTTTGTGTCTTACTCACAAATATTTCAGCTCATCTATAATTATAAGATTGAAGGCTCTTTAGAGGAGGGTTCTTTCTGTTACAACAAATACCCATCTTGAACTAATAATTCTTAGTTGTTGGTGTTTTCATTGTTACCCATTTGCATTGTCTTGTCACTTGGCAGCGAATCCCCACTGCTTTTGCCTCTTTTTTTACCTCCAGGGATGTGATTGCTGAGAAAGGGGACCATTGGTGAGGCTAGAGCCAGTGGAAGGTTCTGTAGCCAGGAGCCCCCCACTTTGTGCTCTCTGTGGAGCTCCCAGAATTCAGTTTAGAAATGTGGATCTAAACGTTACTGGGAAATAAGCAGATAGAGACACATTCTACTCTTGGGTGCATTGTACAAAAGAAACAAATCAGTTTTTCAGAGGTAACCCATTTTCCATGGCTAAAGAGGCTCAAAGACTGTTTATTATAATTGACTAGAATGCTAAGCTTTCTTTCACATAAAAGCATTACATAAAGTCACCCTGAATAACGTAAGTGTGTGGTAATATGCCTAAGTTATTCAAATTTATTCATTTAAAAAAAAGTCAACTAGGTTTCAGTACTATCTGAAAAATAAAATACATATACACACATACCTACAGCAAGCATCATAGTATATTTATTTGGAATTACAGTATGACCATCATGTTAATTACTTTTGACCTAATGAGTTGAAAGTTGTTATCGATAAATGTCATAAGTGGAAAGTATTGTTAATTCTTATTGTCATCAGTATATAGCTATTAGTCAGTAGCTAAAGAATATCGTTATGTGAATGTTTCTGTAACTTGGAATTACAATTTTACTGTGTTAATTAAGTAATCAAAACCCTACTTATAAGATGTCTGTATTTCTTTTCACCATTGAATAATTATATCCAATAATATATTGCATAATAACTATACTCAAGTTAATGTAACATTGATCTCTGCCAAAAAATAATGTGCTAGCATTAAAAAAAAATCTATGTGGCATTATAATAGGTGCCTGTCATTCATTATGATTTGATTTTAAAGTGGATTTTCTAGCCAGTGTGTATGTCCAGTGTATTGAGAATTATTTACTCATCTAACACAGACTTGTATTATAGGCTATTTAAATATATTGTGTCTATTCCCAGCATACGTGTCCTGTACATTGGTACTTTCAGTAACAGTGGATCAACCAATTAAGCAATCAAGAGTATTCCTTGAATACACACATTGTGCCACTTCACTAGGGGTATATTTTCACGGTTATTACCAGAGTGAAACTCATTTTATCATGAGATCTTACTGGCAGTTCAGCAAATGAGTATTTGTATCATAATACAGATCTATTTCATCTTTTTTCTGACCTCCTCTGCACAACTTTCCAAACTACTCTGCAGATGCTGGGTTAATTGATATCCATAGGGCATTTTTCAGGAATTCGGCTCGAGGCAATTTATGTTCCTTCTTCCTAAACCTCTAAAATGGAGGCCGGTTGCAAACTCATGAGTTGTCCTTCCTGATTTGTTATTTGTATCCACCATTCTTCTACTTTTCCCTGACAATGGGGTGACAGGAGGGCTGGGGTAGTTTTCTGCCAGTCTTGAACCATCTGACACACCCTCATTGTTCCTCTTTCCTTGTTGCTATCAGCAGTCCCTCACTGAGAAGACCAAGATGGTCTTAGACCCTCTACAAACCTAGGCCAATTGATATGCCAACCAAGATATTCACCGTGAACTAAATGTGTCAATCCTCAGTTGTGGAAAAAACAATCCGAGCGTGAATGTGGGTTAGTTTGGGTTTTTGTTTTTGCTAATTTAGGTTTAATTACATTTAAAACACAAATATGTTTAACTACACTCATTCAACCATGTCTCTAAGCACATTATGAATGTGTTAGAGACACTGTCCTTATAATTAAGTAGACTCTATGTTGTCTTTTTGCTAATTTTTTAATGGTTTTTATTGATTTTAGATGTTACCCTTTGTAAGGCACTATCCTGTAGGTGCTTTGTACATGTTAGCTTATTGAAATTTCTAAAAGAATTTTAAATGAGACATTACCAACGAGAGTTAAAGCCTTAAATATTGATATATTTATTCATTAGGATTTAAAAGTTGGAAGATTGACCCAGTTTTCAGAAAGCCTTTTCACTTAAACAACAGAAAGATTGTACAGGTGGTATAGTACAGATGGTGACATCTTCCCATCATTAGTCTGAGAAGTGACCTTGTACATATGAATTAATATGCATCAAAATCTGAATTTAAGGGAGCTATCGTCTTACGGAATATGACTGTCTGCCAAGCTAGATATAAACTCGTGATTCTGACTCATGTGAAAAATAAAACTAATCACTAAAGATCAACTTATACATAGGCAGTGTACATTGATGGTGAAGATCGGGCTCCTTTCGCGGGGAAATGGCAGACTTGTTCAGCAGGCATAGCAGCTGTAGAAACACTAAGCAAAGGATTGTGGTGATGCTAATTTAAAAATAAACATTAGGAAATGAAAATTCTTCTTGCTTAGAATAACCATTTAAGGAAATACTTACAGACTTCCTCCTTTAATTAACACCCTTCCTCGTGCTTAAATTTACTGGGGGAAAAGGAGTTGGGGAAAAATAATTTGTATTTTATTATAAATTACAAAATGGCCATTCACCTCGTCTCCTCCACTCTTTAGGCAGAGAATAGATCCCATTGTAATACTTAGAAGAAGAGAGTGAAATGGGTGGCACTTTCAATTCTTTAATCCTTCTTGCTGTGTTCTCATTAAACGAATCTGTTCAACAAGAGTGGAATTCAGTTCTTGTATTCGCCGTGCAGCTTCTTCTTTCCGTGAGGAACACGACCCAGAGTAAACGGGGACTTGATATTTAACCGATCCCTTTCTGCCTCCTCTTCCTCATCATATCTGTCATCCTCATTCTCATCCTCCCCATCACTGCTCTGAGGACTGGAGACTTGGGACCCCGAAGGAGAAGGTGGGACCGAGGAAGGCCTGGGGTATTTAAACCCTTCTGTCTGCCAAAGACAAAAATAAGACACAAAACATTATAACAACGTCTTGACTTTTCAACAGCGTGAACACATTGCATGTGCATTTAATAAACAACATAGTTGGATTTTTTTCATGGTCCGTTCAAGACAGATTCATGGAATAAAATAGCCTTCTTTTATTGAATACTGAAAACGTGCCAGGCGTTATATATAGATAATTGTATTTAATCTCCAATCAATTTGTTCTTCCCATTTACAGAAGAAAATTGAGAGTGCAAGGGGCCAAATGACCTGCCCAAGTTCACACAGCACGTAAGTGGTAAAGCAAAGATGCGTTCCAGGGCTGTGATCACCCCAGAGGCTTTCATATCAACTGCCATGATGCACTGCTGATATTATCCATCTCTATGTCACCCTTCAGATTTGCTCTAATTACCGAATGTGGGCATCTTGGATACTCCATGGACAGCCACCACTAGAAAGAATCCTGGAAGCCAGGCTACTGTTGACCTTGAAATTCCAACAGGTCCTCTTAGTTAGCAAGCAAATGTCACTAGCTTTTAGTCACATTGCCCATCTACCTAAGATTCACCGAGATAATGCATTTGACAAACACATACTAAGTATCACCTATGGGTCAGGCATCATGATGTCACTGAGGAAACAAAGATGAAAAACATGGTCCCTGCTTTCTAGATGTGCATATGCTCCATTGATCCGGAAGACAAAGGCATAAAGTGGTTACAGCACTTGCCATTCTGTACTTCAACTATTTTTAGACATTATTCTGTTATTACATGGACCATCATTTCAAGGTTCAGCTGTTTTACCTGAAAGCAACACAAAAAAGAATTCTGAATCCTGCGCTTAGGATCTGGCTCAGAGTAGGAGCTCAGTACTTAGCTGAATTTGCTAAATAAATGCACGAATAAAGCTGAATTATCATCAAAGGCAGGGACCGCCTCTAAATAAACCAAGAGGTTCATTCTGTTAGAAACATGGATGTGGGACTTGGAATTTGTATACTGAGGGATTCACAAAACACTTTCATTGTCTGGTTGAACAGATTTCACTTTGGGTTAACATTCTAGATCTGTTCCCCAGACATCTGATAGAGGCAGAATATAGGGTATTAGGCAAAATTGTTTATGGTAGAAGTGACTCCTGATTGGAAAATTACATCTGAGTTTGGAGGATCTATAAACACTTCATGAAGATCTGTAGCTTTTGGAAATCCTTGAATTTGATGGCTCTTGCTAATTGCACATGTTCCTTGCGGAGAGCCTAGAAGCTTGTCCGTGAAGATTTACATGAGATGTTGGCTCCTGTGGGGCGCAGAACCACTAAGCTAAAATGGATCTCGTACTCAGTGGTATGGGTTTCATCTTTTGCACCTAGGTTTTCATCAGGTGGGTAGCGGATAGAGACGTTCAGTTCTTGCACTGCTGTGTAGACTGCTGCCAGGACTAACTGCATCGAAGAGAAGTGCCTGCTACTCCCCTACTTCAAGCTGTGTTTTCTCTCTTATATCCTCTTAAGTGAATGTTGTAAGTAGCCTACATTGTAAGTAGCCTATATAAATACCTAAGTGAACTTCAGAGGAAGATTCCCTGGTGGGCGTTGCTGAATAGAACACAGTCATCTGGTCCAGTTCCTCCTGTGGTGCTTGAATTGTCTCTTGCTCTTGCCAAATCATCACCCTCTATTTAAGCCTTTCCGTGGAGAGCAGATTCACTTCAGATTAAAACGGGCCACTTTATTTTTCAACAGCTCTCAAAAGAATGGATGTCTAAGAGAGGTTTCCGGCACTAAGGCAGGGAGAGCTTTGAATGAAAGAGCTTCTCCGATGGCTTGCATTAGCTGACCACTCCCTCTAGGCATAAGTTACCTCTGAACTGAGCACTTTGCGTTGGTGTGCTTTGTCGGTTTCTCCATTTACTTTGCTGCAGCACGATGAACACGCACAACCGTTTGTGAACTCGGCCACTCCCAAACCAAAGGCATTGTTAGGACTTCCCCATACGTTAAAAAAAAAAAACAGCTTTGAAAACAATAAACAATACTTCAAACTATTTACCGTGGGTGGTGATGTGGGTTCCATGTGGAATTTATCTGGAAAAGCTCTGCTTAATGTCAGGTGCCTGGCATGCTGGTAATACTATGACAGAAAACCAATCCACGGGTTAAAAAACACTCGATATATCTCGGTAACCAAGTTAGTATATAAAATCTTATTCTCCCAGTTACAAAAATACGTATTTTTCAAAGTGGCAGATTCTCTTCATTCTAAATTTAAGAATCAGAAAACATGTGGCCACTTATAGTTTTGTTTTTCAGTAAATAGGTAAAGAAATAGTACCAAAAATTGGAGGGGAAAAGCTTAGTGAACGCTGAGCTGAGTGTTAAGGTGACTGAAAACACTGGTTTCATTCGACAGAGAAGCAGTGCAGCCTGGAGAAAAGATGAGGCCTGAATAATTACACAGACTGGGTTTAAATCTTGCCTCAGACCTTAGGTAAGAAACATGACTTGTGACCCTGCTTTCATGATGAAATGAAGACAGTGAAATTAATCTCCCTGAGTGGTATGGGCATCGCTACGGGCGTTAGTGTGTGTAGACACTCAGCTGATGTCTGCATCTGTCACCCAGAGCTGAGCAGTATCTAAGCAGATGCATTATGTGAAGGCAAAGTCAATTTAGCTTTTATTAAATCATCCAGAGCCGAGCTACACGAACATCTGAGTATTTGCAAACCTACTGCATGATTGAAGGGAGGTATTCCCTGTATGTCTTTTTTCCCTCCACCTTAAAAAAAAAAAACCCTTTTCATTAATTTATTTATCATTCCATTTATTTTTGCTTTTAGGGGAGGGAAGGTAATTAGGTTCATTTATTTGATTTTACTGGAGGTGCTGGGGATCGAACCCAGGACCTTGCACATGCTGAGCACACACTCTACCACTGAGCTATACCCTGCCCCCAACCCCTGTACCTGTCATTTTGAGAAACAAACTATTCCCACTCCCCACTGTAGTCGAGGAATATGGTCAATTATCTCTTAGAGTGAAATAAAATAGAGACTTTCCTCTTGATGTTTTCCTCCTCTTCTTGAAACAATACCTGTAACGCATCCAGTTAAG